TTCGCGACTCCCACCCTAACCACATTAGGACTAGTCTTCCGTAAAGGGATCACGATTTCACCGCTGCAGATGTCAAGATCCACTTCAACTACTACTCACTCCTCACTCCCCCTGAGCTGAGGCTTGCTTTGCCTCCCCACCGCAACCCTCTGCTTTTCTTCTATTTCTTTTCTTTCCGTTCGTTCCTTTTTCTAGCATCAATCATTCCTTTTTAGCATGTATTCGAATACCTTTTACGGCGGCAGCAGCAGCCGCCCTGGCCCGACTGGGTTTGGCCAGCAACAACCACCACCACCACCACCACCACCACCACCACAACAACAACAACAACAACAACAGCCCCAACAGCAGCCTTTCCCCGGATTCTCTCAACCTCAGCAGCAAAATCTTCAGCCAGGCGCGTTCATGCCGCAAGCTACCGGCTTTGCTGGCAGCAATCCGATGCAGCAGATGCAAATGCCAATGCAACAGCCACAACCTACCGGCTTTCCGCCTTCGCATCAGTTTACTGGCTTCCCTCTTCAAAATCAACAACCCCCAAGTGCAGTCACGGCGGTGACTCAACAGCAGCTGTCAGCGCCTTTGCCAAACCCTCCACATGAAACAGGCATGACTTCGACACAGATTGCACACTCCTTTGCGCAGCCGGCAACTCCAGCTGTTCCGGCGCAACAACACGCTTCTTCAGGCTCCAAGATTCCGAATATGCGCCTTTCTTTCATCACCGCACAGGACCAGGCGAAATTCGAGCAGCTTTTCAAATCAGCTGTGGGGAATAATCAGGCGTTGGATGGTGCGTGCTATCGGATATATAGGCTCTATTACTGGTTCTAAAAATAGCGGTGCTGACGAGTGTCTACAGGAGAAACGGCGAAGGATCTACTTATGCGTTCCAAGCTGCCTGGAAGTGATCTTTCGAATATTTGGTAAGTCATGCCGTGATCACGCTATGGTAAATCAGAAATGGAAACCGTCTTTTGCTGACTGTGAATGTAGGGTGCTTTCCGATACCACGAAATCAGGCCGCCTCCTCTTCCCCGAGTTTGCGTTGGCGATGTACCTCTGCAATTTGAAGCTAACTGGCAAGGAGCTTCCATCTGTCCTTCCCGAGCGCATTGCGAATGAAGTCTCCAGTATGGTCGATATCATATCCTTCGCTGTCCCAGATGCTAGACCTGCCCCTCCTCAAACGAATGTACCGAAATTTGATGCTCCGCTGATGCAGAACGCATCCGCACCGCCTGCACCGCAGCAACCCCAGCCACAACAGCCATCCAATACCCAACTGCTCTCCCAATTGACCTCCCAGCCCACCGGATTCTATAACCAGGCCACTGGTCTTCAACCTCCTTCGATTGTGCAGCCTCAGCAAACCGGATTTCCAGCCCAGAATGCTGGTCTCCGTCCACAACAAACTGGGTTTTTGAGTAACACTCAGCCAACTGGTTATAACGGACCACGGCCACCTATGCCGCCTATGCCTACAGGATATGGCTCGGGCCTTTCGCCATCTCAGACTGGGCTTGCCCCTTTGAACGCTCAGCCAACTGGGGTCCCTGGCCAATGGGGTTTTGTCAACGCTCCAGCAACTGGATTGCCGAACATCGAAGCATTACAGCAACGATTGATGCCTCAGCCGGGACGTGAAGGCGGATTCACGACGCAAGGCCTATCCGGGAACGCGACGATTCCATGGGCAGTGACCAAGGATGAAAAGAAGATCTACGACCAGCTGTTCAGAGCATGGGATGGTTTCAATAAAGGGTTCATTGGAGGCGACGTGGCGATCGAAATCATGGGTCAGAGTGGCTTGGAACGTCAGGATCTTGAGCGCATCTGGACATTGTCTGATCCGAACAACCGGGGAAGACTGAACATGGATGAATTTGCCGTCGCAATGCATCTGATATACCGGAAACTCAACGGATATCCTGTGCCAAATCGTCTCCCGCCCGAACTCATTCCCCCCTCAACGAGGAATTTTAACGACTCTATTGGAACCGTCAAGTCTCTACTGTCCCAGGATGCGGAGTCTCGCAAGTCTTCTGGTGCATTTTTACAACCTCAGCAGACTGGTGTTAGTTATTTGAAGAATCACTCTTTCCGTAGCGGATCATCCACACCTGGTGCTGGGAGGAAAGACGCAACCGTATTTAAAAATAATGATGATGCTATAGGGTATAGGTCAAGCGCGCGCCGTCGTGTTGGTGGGGGGGGAACACCTTCTCCCTCTCCGTCCCCAACGCCAGAACGTTCTGATGACGACGTGTCAGTTGAGCAATTGAAGAAGAAAATCCGGGAAACGAAAATTATGCTGGATGCTACTGATTTCCGAGACCAGAATCGTGCAGAGGAAGAGGAGGCCTTTAGCCGTAGAGATCGTCGGGAGGCTGAGTCTCTCATGGAGAGAATTCGACGTGTTCAGGATGATATCGATACTGATCCCAAGGCTGCGTTCCGCATCACGGATTCAGGAGCCGAACGCCGTTCCCTGCGAAGACAGCTCCAGTCCTACCAGGACCAACTTCCCGAATTAGCTTCTAATGTTCGTAAGGTTGAGCGAAGCATTGCGGATGCTAGGCTTGAGTTGTTCCGTCTAAAAGACGCAAAGGCTCACCCCAGTGCTGCCGCTGCGATTGTTGGAACTGGCCCTGGTGGCACTGTTACAGAGTCTGACCGGATCAAGGCCCGCGCGCGCGCCAGAATGCAAGCCAGGGCTGCTGAGCTAGCTGGGAGACCGCCACCATCTACCGATGATGATGGGGCTGCAGCCCGGCGACTCGAGGAGGAGACAGCGTCTGTTAAGGCTGAGCGGGAGCGGAATGATGCTATGACTAGGGATGTGGAGGAGAGTGTTAAAGAGTTTACGCGGAGCCTTGAAGATAGTCTGAAGGATGTCGATGAGAATTCTACGCGTGAGCATGAAAGGAGGCGGTGGGAAGAGGCTCTGGGCGTTGAGGATACGATCAGAGATTTCATCTATGATCTTCAGCGAGCGAGTAGGACAGCGAGAGTTCGGAAGGACGAGTGAGTATTTCTTTTCCCATTAACCTAATTTAATGGTGTTATTATTGATTCTACGGCGCTAACATAATGCATTAGGAGAACCGCATCTTCCCAAAGATCCGTATCTAATAACCGCTATGATAATGTATCATCTAACGGTGACACTCTGCCAGTCCGGCCATCTCAACCCCAATCCACTGGCTCTCCTTCATTGGCTGGCCTTACCCATCAGGAACGTGTGACGTCCGCTAAAGAGCGAGCGCAGAAACGTATTGCAGAGCGCATGGCCGCTGCTGGACTCAAGCCAAACTCTGATGGAAGCGGTGAAACCCTTCTCGAACGCCAGGAACGAGAAAAGCGTGAACGAGAAGAGCGACGAAAACGAGCGGAGGAGGAAGACGCGAAACGGGAACAAGAGAGACAACGACGCATTGCTGAGGAGCAAAATGGTCCGCCTGTCAAAGCCGCTACCACTGGCAAGAAACCTCCTCCGCCTCCATCGCGAAAGGGTAAAGCGGATGGCGTTAGTCCTGCGGAAACGAGGAAGCTTGGTGATTTGAAGAATGCTGCTAGGGAGAAGGCTGAGCATGAGGGGAAAGAGAGGGCTCTGAGAGAGGAGCAGCTAGCTCAGGAAGCTGAGAGTCGTCGTTTAGAGTAAGTACATTGCATGTACATTTTGTAATTGTGATTGAACGCTAATTGGAATTGGTTATATAGGGCTGAGGCCAGACAACAAGAAGAGGAACTGGCAAGAGAACGCGAAGCTGCCCAGGCCCGTCTCAGGGCATTAGAGGAGCAGGTTAGACAGGGCAAGATTAAGAAGCAAGAAGAAAAACGCCGGAAGCAACTTGCTGAAAAGGAAGCTAAAGAGAAGGAGGCACGACTTGCCATTCAGCGTGCAGAGCTTGAGGCTGCACAGGCTCGGGAGAGAGAGCTACAGCGTCAACTTGAGGGTCTCGATGAAGAAGAATCATCAGATGATGAAGGCCCCGTCGAGGTTACTCCACAAAATAGCACTCCTACACAGAGTGCTGTTTTACCTTCAGCTACTACTACCATGGCGTCACCTCCGTCTGTCCCACGACCTGCAACACCACCAGCAGCGCCGTTTGAGCCAGAACTAGCGTTTGAGGTCGCTTCTGCTACGAGTACCTCCATTCCGAGTCCAGAATCTGTCAAACAGCGTGTAGCGGCTGATACAGAATCGAGGAACCCTTACTTCCGTAAAATGGGTCAGTCGGTAGATACGCAACCACCTAGCTTCCACACGCCACCAGAACAAATACCAGATCCTCTTTCGACAACTGAAGTTGCACCCCCGCCTGCGTCCGCACCCGCACCTCCCAAAACCGAGATTCAATCAACAAACCCATTCCACCGCCTAGCTCAGCAACAGGAGAGCCAAAAATCCGCCTTCGCTGCCGCGCCTCTCCCTGGTCCTCTAACCCGCAAGTCCCGTGCGCGCCCTGAAGACGATGAATGGTCTATCGCCGAATCGGAAAACTCTTCTGATGATGATGACGATAGACCTGCCGGTGGCAGCGCTAAACATCTAGCCAGCATCCTCTTTGGCACCATGGGCCCTCCACGTCCCCTCAGCGCGATGGATGAGAAACCGGAGTCTAAATCTGCTACTCCTGTCCAGGAGAGTCCTACGGTGGCTGCGTCGCCGCCGCCACCACCACCACCACCACCTCCTCCGTCGGAACCTGCTCCAGTCACAACGCTACCACCAGCCGTTGCTGCGCAAGATGTGGAAGAGGATGATGATGATGACGATGAAAATGACTTCCAAGATGCGCCTTCAATGCCTCCACCTCCGCCACCTCCTCCCGTTCCTGCTCCATTCGCGGATGCACCACCAACCGCACCCCCTCCACCACCCCCACCAGCGTTCAGCGCAGCTGCACCACCCCCACCTCCCCCTCCGCCACCTGTCGGTGGTGCCCCAGGAGGTCCTCCGCCGCCTCCACCTCCTGCTGGAGATGCGCCGGCTATTCCCAAGGCAGCGGTCCCTGATGCTGGAGCTGGGAGAGGGGCGCTGTTAGCTAGTATTCAGGCCGGGAAAGGGTTGAGGAAGGTAGAGACCAAGGATCGGAGCGCGGCCTCAGTTTCGGGCAGGGTTCTTTGAGCGTACTCTTTCTGGGGGGGCTTTGCGAGTGTGGATAGAACTGGTGGAGGGGTAGTTTGATATGGTATTTATTGACTTTGATGGGAGTGAGTGTTGAGATTTGTGGTTTTGAGTTTTGAGAAGTTGGCGAGATTGTGTGCTACATATGTTCGGGACGGATGCTTGATGTATGGATGGATGTATGTATGTATGCAATTGGGATGACTATAGTAGGATATAGTAGTTTTTGATATACATTGTTTCTTTTTTAAGTCTCTTGATTGATATATTTTTTTTTGACTCGGTCTTGTACGTTGTTTTGTCGTAACAGGCTGACTGCCAGTGAGGGTGGTCTTCTAAAGTAGAAAATGGGAATGGCTGTATCTCCCCCAATACAATATCCGTATTCTATCCATAGACTATCAGGTGAAGGGCGAAGGTTGATAACATAAAAGAAATGACGGTGAGACATATAACACGACCCAGAAGCCAAACAAAAGACATCAGAAACGAATGGAAGCAGAAAGGGGAAAATGGGAATGGGTAAAATATATAGACAGAGACATATAAAGAATACACACTAAGCTAATTCGAAGAAACTACCTCCAACACCACATTCGCAACCGTCGTCACCGTCCACAAAGCCACCAGACCCCAGCCAATCTTCCGGTCCATCCACCACCCATTCAGCGGCACGATAATCAGTAGCAGCACCAGCGTCACCAACAGCGTTGCCGCGCTTATCAACAACGTCTTGGTTAGTTCGATCTCATACGGGTTAGAGGCGGCAGAGAGCGTCTGCGCTATAACACTTCCTGTCGTAGATGCAGGAAATGATTTCGTCGGCTGAAGCGTCATGTACAACCCGCCCATGCCAACGCCGAGAAGGATATTCAGCATGGGCCCGCCGAAGCAGGCGCTCAACGCCATGACCGGGTATCCCAAGCGAGCCACGGTGATGTCGGCAACGAGATCGCCGAGGGAGTTGCCGACTGCGAAGATGGTCAGGCCCAGGAGTGAGTCGCTGATGCTGAGGATGACGCCGATGGCTTTGAGGAGGTTGACGACTTCGGAGGCGAGGGTAGAGATCCAGGCGATGGACACGACGAAGCCGAGGAAGGCGACAAAGGGGCGGAAGCGCCGGGGGAGTTGTTGGTTGGGGGCGCTGTTGGCTTTTGTGGCGAGGAGGAGGATGGTGAGGAAGATGGCGGAGGCGAGGAGTGCAACTAGGATGGAAAGGAGGAGGTTTCGAGGTTTCAAGTTGCTGTCCAGACTTGACCAGGCTATTAGTGCTATGAAGCATGGAGCTACCAAGAGTTGGAGGACTAGGAGCCAACGGTTGAATTCCTTGGGCGATGATGTTATTGGTTGGTCTTTCGGCAGCGTTGGTGGAACGGGAGCCTCGGAGTCCTGTCGAATCCGGCTCCCAGTTGGGAGAAGCGAAGCTCTCGTAGCGCGGTCATGGTCACCGTCCAATCCTTCTGTATCCGGTACTACTGATATTCGACACATGTCAGACGCATGATGACTCGGTTGAGGAGGATCTGTCCCACTCTCCTGGACACCAGAGACATTGATTTCCGGTTCTGGAGGTGTCTCCGGCTCAGACTCCTTTGGTTCAACAACGGGGAGTGTGATAGTTAGGAGTAGGACACTGGGCGCAGCAACGACTCCAAGGAGAATTTCCCATACGGGTTTTATTCGCCAGTCGTATAAAGTTGGAAATAAAACCGCAGCTATAGTATGAGGAGAGGGTAGGTATCGGTAAGGCCACCAACTTATTGGCTTGGGTTCTGCTTGAACGTCCCTGGAACCCGGCCGTGTAAAAGATGATGCAGCGGACAAACTTGCACGTCGCTGGCGACGAGGACTACGGGATTGTGAACGCATGGAAAAAGTGTCAGAATACGGAGGGAAGGCAGAGGTTGGGCTCACTGAGGCTGTTGTGGGCCGCGAGTTTGAGGTATCAATTTGCAAGTTGGTACCTGGGGAGATATCCGCACTCTGGTATCCAACTGGTTCTAAGAGACGTTGTGGCGACTGGAATCCATTTTTTGGTGGGGCTAATAGTATTGGAGAAGCGGAGGATTCGCCTACAACCGGGCTTTGAGACCTTGAGGGGAAGCCTGATGATGAAGGTGAATTAACTAGCCCTGTTTGCGGGAATATATGCGCTACTGTTGAAGGATGGCCTTCTAGTCCTCGATGTGCATCGTCCAAAGGCACGGGTTGTGGAATTGGTAGTAGCAAGTCGAAATTCGGTGAAACTTGGCGGTTGTCATCACTACGATTTGACGGTTCATTAACAGAAGAAGATCGTAAACGGCTAGGTACGGAATGAAGTTGTGCGTGCCGTCGTTCGGGTTGAACACTAGACTGCCGTCTTGGGGGGCCAATTTCATCAGAGTATCTTCGCAAATGGATGGGTCCTGATTGCTGCCTGGCTTTTTGCAAAGATGATAAGACAGAGCGAAATTCTAGCGCACCGACCAAGCTGGGCCGGATGGGTGTGATGGTAGGTCGTCGGCTGCCTGATGGGCCGCGAGTGACTCGCATATTTCCCCGAATTTCGGCAAGATCCCGGTTGTCTGCGTCTTCATCAACATCATCGACTGTCCATAGGGGAACATCTGCGCGTTCCAAAGCATTGAAATCCTCAGACGAAGGGCCACGAAGTAGAGGTCTGGTTTGGCCTGTCACCGGATCATCGTCCTCTTCCTCCTCCCCCTCCTCCAACTCTTGGTTCTCAGGTATATGAAAGTAGGCTCTTGCAGTCAAATCCCTTTCCCGCTGCCGCCGTTTCTTGGCCAAGTACCAATGCCAGGTCACGACAACGAAGACATAGAATACATAAGATAAAATCATCGCGACACATTCCCAGGCGTAGAGTTTCCCATCAGCCAGCAATACCATGGTGAAACTCGCCGAAAAAACAAAAAACACGACATCGCGGACAAAGCTCCGTCGGGCGACTCGGAACGGTCTGACCAGCGCCATAGATCCAGCCACCACGGCGGTTATGAATCCGGCGGCGCCGACAAGCTCACCAATCGCCAAGCCGCCGCTGTTCGAATTCATCGCAGCGAAGGTCGAGAATACGTCGGGGCTGCCATTTCCAAAAGCTAGAAAGGTTACACCTGTCAAGCTCTCGCTCATCCCCAAAATACTTGCGATGGTGCTGAGGTTGACACACAGAAAGTCGCTGGCGGCGATCCCGATGGTATTGAAAAGGACCGCTAGCCAGACAGCCAGGATGGCAAACGCGATTGGCTTTGCATGTGCGAGTTTGCAGTAGTATAGTTGTAGGTAGGAGAAAATGCCAATTTCATGGTCGCCGCAATATGTCCGGACGAAGGAGCATTGGTCCTTCACCTTGTGGACCAAATGGCACTAGAGAGAGATGGCTCGTCAGTATATCCGGGTCCATTTGGCAATTCAATTCAGCTTCAATGTCTCTTTCGGACATACCTCATCAGAGGGTTCCAGGCTAGGTCTAGGTAGACTATCAGATCCTCCTCCCAGGGCGAAATCACTGCGCTTCACAAGTTGCGATACCTCAAGCAACGGGGTCTGTTTGGAAGTAGCACTCAGCAGAACGCTTGCACCAGCAAGAAGCGCCAGGACCAGGAGAGTCAGGTAAAATGGCCTGCTCGAATACCGAGACCTAAGTCTGCGGAAAGTGAGTGCCCTGGTGAGCAATGACGATGGCCGCGTTGCCATCTTGGAAACATCATGGGCATCCAGCGCTTCGGTGGTTTGAAGGTCGGGTACCTTTGTTGGGTTCTCTTTTCCGTTAAAAGGGAATCTGGAGGCGAAAGCGAGCGTAGAAAGCAAAACGATCAGTCAGTTACTCGCCATGGCATACTTGCGGGTGCCGAACAACGGAAATCTATCTTGGTAGTTTTCCGTACACTCGGACTCCTCGATTCCGGATTAGTGCCTGAGCCCGCGCTGCTTTTCCTCCTGCTGACTCAGCCCTGCCTCCCCTGAGCCTCACCTGCGACCTCACCATCCTCACCTGCAGCAATCACCCCCATTAGCCTCTCCACCGGTCACTCCAACCTCATCTTTCATTATATCTGCTCGATTTCTGTCAAGTCTACGCGATGCAACCGCCCGGTGGCCAAAACGATGAGGATGGCGGTCGCAGACGTCTCGTCCCCCCCTCACGGTTTCCCGTCTTCTCCTTTATTCCCCTCGTCCACTGCTGTATTTCTACTGGACTACCTTCTACTGGATTATCTTCGATTGGATTATCTTCTGCTGGATTATCTTCTACTGGAGATATCTGCTGCTCGTGGTCTTTCCACGATCTTCTGTTTCTGTTACCTTTCCTCTATCCATAGCGTCAATCTTTTTTCTGCGCCCTTTCGTGTTCCAGATCCCTAATTCCTCGCAATGCCCCCAAAGATCACCGAGAAAGAGTGGGAGCGCAGATTGCAGGCTGGAGGTGGTCTGCCCGATAGGCTCAAGTTAGCTGGGAAGCGAGTCCTGAAGGAACTTGACCCTTACACGGAGAAGAAGTACAGAGACACTTGGAATATTTGGGAGTAGTGGGTCCCATCCATCCTCAGTCCTGTGCCGAGTTTGGCTGGCGTTGCAACAAGGCTGATTATCCCCATCCAGTTATTGCAGCAGGCACAAAGACCATGACCTTGAAGATGAGCAGATCAAGCAGCATTTCATCATATTCCTCACAATGCTGCTGAAGGGCAGGGGCGCGGATGGGGCGCCTAATGAAACATATGTAGAACAGCGCTGGAAGGAGTTCACCGCCCAGTGGAGGCGGATGCATGAAAATAAGCTCCCTGATAAAGTGGTTAATTCCGGTACAATGGTAGATGGCTGACCCGCTATGGTCCTGATGTGGATTATAGGCTGACTGTTGCCCAAGTTCATCAGACAGGAGCTGCATAATTTCATCACCCTGAACCGAGAGATCAGTGAGAGGGATTACCTGACTCTGATTCATTTCAAGAACCTTCTGCGCCAACTGTGGCAGAATGACTGGTACCTGTATCCGTTCCCAATCTACCGGGTGTACGTCTCCAGTCTGCTCAAGCACTTCACGTATTCCTCCGGGAGAGTAGGCGAGTACCTGGAGTCAACTGCACGACTTGGCTCCGCCCGAGGGCTCTATGTTCCAGGGGTGAGTCCTTCCCCTGAAGCCACTCGGCCCCCATGCGGTTTGAAGCTGACATATTCTTTAGAGCATGACTATCCTGGTGATCCGCAACCGCAGCGGGAGGCCTGAACTCGTTGTTGCACTGAAGAGAGATGCAAAGGGCATGACGAAGAAACAGAAAAAGCAGTTCGGCACCCTAACCCCTGACGACTGATCTAACACTGGAAGGTGACTTTGGCTGACCTAGCGGCATATAGCCCACGTCATTCTATGCCCGAAGATATCGGGTCCCTCCCGCTTTGCCTCAACCCTGTGCTGGAGCCGTTGGTGCTGTGCCTTGCACGTGGCCTCTTCCACGATTTTAAGACTGCAGATGAAATCTTCTCACTTGAACCTTCTGCAGACGAGGGAAGTTATGAACTGGCTCTTTGCAAACCCACCGTGCCGTTGTTCGGCCCGCACTCCCCTTTTCCGAAAGAGGAGGATGTGGGGCTAGAAAGCGCGTCAAGAAAGCAGCTCAGCAAGGGCAAGGGAAGCATGAAGACGGTGATAGGGACACTGTTGTATGAGGCCATTTCGGACGATGGACCTACGGGCAAGATCCTCACCGCCAGCTGGTTTGGGAAAGAGCTACCGAGGCTGGGTCGTCGGGCAGGATACGTCAGGTCCATCACCGTCCATGACATAAGAGCGGAGGCGCTTGTCCGTGCTGACGGTAAGTAATCAGACGTCTCCTCCGGCATCGGTTACAAGGATCGTTGGCTGACGACAGCGGTGCTGCTGGGCAGAAAATGGCTACTCTGTTGATGAGAGGCTAATGTTCACTGGTCAATCAAACCCTCAAGAGTTCAATCATACATGAGCTCGGTCTGTAGTGTGCAGGGCGTTGGAAACATCCTTGAGCTGGCACAGTGTGATGATATCGCTGAGCACTTTCGTGGCTTGTCTCTGAGACGCCATTCAAGGCTCTTCCAGTGTCTTCCTGCAAAGTTGCGCCAGGATCTGGAGGACAGACAGACAAGAGTTTGTCCAGCTCAATGCCCGGATTGAGGAGCTGAACAGGAAGATCCGAGCCTCGGGGACCTCAGAGGAGGAATGCCAGAAGCTGGAAGGTGAACAGCACTCTTGCTACCTGCAGAAACAGAAGCTCGAGGCTCAGGAGCTGGATGACTGGCAAAACAGTTCATTGAAGAGCATAAACCAGGTACAGCTGCGGAGGAGGATGAGCACAGTGTGAGCTACCACTGGAGGTGGTTCGATCGCGTTGCCCATCTTATGCCCGAACAGAAGAGGCTCAGTGAGATGTTGTTCCTGTGCGTCCCGTTGCGGAGCTCAGAGGGAAGGCAGGTGATTGATGACATGATGACTCTGTGCCGTAGAAGGAGCCCGGTGTCGGACCATCCAGCCCTGAAGGCTGAAAGCGGCCGTTGTCCCGCAGGCGGGTGCGGAATTGATGTGGAGAGGTGAGCTAGCTCTTTTTTTCAAGAAGTATCGCGCCTCCAGGAAATCTAGCTGATCCCAGGATTCTCCGCTGCGTCATCAAAAGTCTGTCGACTAGGCAGAGATGGAAGCATATCTACAGATGCCAAAAGACTACCTTGAAGAAGCAGCATGGTTTCTCAGATCTATGCCCTATATGCCATCAGTGGTACACCGACGAGTGGGAGTTTGAAGCCCACTGTCAATACCACATCGATCACCCGGCAACGATTCCACTCGAGCATGGCTTCCTAGAAGTACGTGGCACGCTTGCATGGCCCGGATTTTGCCCCCGATGTCTCGGGGACAGAGGCAAGCAGGCGCGTCATCGCATGGCTGCCTTCTATGATCAACAGTTGTTGACCAGGCACATGAACCGTCACTATGACGACCCTGCCTTGAGATTGGACTGCGGCTCCATTCATGGCTGTGATCTGCTTTTCACCTCAATTCGAGAGCTCCAGCATCATTATGATGATTTACACTGTATTCCTGCTCCAGGAAACGGCGGGGTTGCGAACCGGCATTGAAGAGTGATATGCCCTGCACCCCACAAGTTGCAGCGGAAGACGATATGGAGCTGGAAGTCCATGTCACCACTCCTGAGAGCTTCAAGCGCAAGCGAGTGGATATTGACGATGAGGGAGCGGCGAAGCGCCTGAGAAAACTTGAAAGTGCCAAATTAGCATCTAATGAGACCGGTACTGCGGAACCTGGGATTGTGGGGAGCGGCCTTGCTCACATCAATGCCGAGTGTTCACACTCTGTTATAGACTCTGAGTACTCTTCCTGCGCCAAGAGCCCTGACAGCTATAGACATATTTAGATTTGACTGTCAAAGTTCAGGTTTGAGCTCTCTGCATCCGGAATTTCTAATTTTCCGGATGTTCTATTTTTGAGTAGCCAATCAATTTCTCTTGATTTATATCAACTAGGAACAAACGACGCATGTACAGTACAACAGAAAATCAAACACCGCCCTGCATCAGGATAGAGGAGAGTAAATACAGGCCACCAGTATGTCTCAAACCATACTCATTCTGAAACTCCCACTTTGAGCTCCGCAAAGGAAGGGATCTGAACAGAAATGTCTTTTTCGGTCAGCTGCCGCAGCTGCTTTTCCAGTATCCAGCATTGAATCACGTGATCCCTACAAATATGAGCCATGCAGTTACTAATCACCTTTGGCGATTGTCGTCGGTTTGGGCAAACTGAAAAGCCTCGCGATTTCCCCACGAATCCTATGAAATATTAATAACCTGCCACCGAACAAAGAGAAGATGATCTGTACCTCATGAAGACTGAATAAAACGGACATCTTGATGAAGCAATGGACATAACCGAAGAGGACCAAGACCGGGAATAAGAGGCAATCTAATGGTCGCCGGCGATAGTGGCCAGAAAGCTTGATGAACTTGGTGAAAATCATCCAAATAAGAAGCACCCCCAACGACCAAGAGTGTAGTGTGGGATTCGACACGGTCATCGTGTGGCATAACCAGATTAGGCAGGTGTCAGTTAAGAGAGCTAATTGCGATATGGTTGTGAGAAACACTGCATAAGTGCTCCATGGATGCCTCCTGGTATACTAATCAGCATTTGACGATCGAAGGAAGAGAGAAGGCTCACCACCAGACAGCCCGGTCAATAAACAAGCTGCGCAGATTACTTCGCCAGTTGCTTCTGGACCATCGCACACATTGTTTGAGGAACTTCGGACTCTCCTCTAGCGTTGTGAGAACCTCGGCATTGGGATGGGATTGGAAGTAGGTTTTGTATCCGTGAGTGACCATCCTGCGCGTCAGGAAGTTGTCATCGTCCGCGTTGAGCGATTTGCCAAACCAGGTCTCATTGACAAAAGGTTCCATGCAGGGTTGGAGGATCTCCTTGCGATATGCAACTGTTCGGCCTGAGAGGCAGGGAACACCTCCATCCATATAAGTGGTTGCAGTACAGTCGAAGTTTCTTCGCTCTAGATACAATCCGCCCAGGAACCACCAGATGTACTGGAAGGATATCCTTGGGTTGTTAGGTGCCTGCACACGCTGGCATGTGGCCACACCTCCCATGAGAGGATCCTTAAACGGAGCAAGAATCCATGGCACAAGGCATGGAGGCCACAGAACATCGCCATCTGCAAGGATAACAAACTCTGTGCGAACCCTCTTAGTTGCAATTGCAATCTGATGACTTTTCTTTGGTCTAGGAACACTTGTCACTTCCACTTTGGTTCTGCGATTCTGCATTGATGTTGCGCTCAACTCAGCTTTCTGTCGATTTTCATCAATGGTTGACAGTATGATCTGTTGAGGTGCATTCTTCAGAATTGACTCCAGAGTGTTAACCAACTGTTCTCCCGAGCCTTCTAGGGTAGGTATGATAACTGCAACGTTGTTGGCAGTTAAAGACAGGTCATGACCCGGTGGACGGATTGGTTTGTACCGGGCAAATGCGATCAGATTTCCGACAAGGCGAATGTATCGATAAGCACTTTGACATCCATTAGCCAGAGTGATCATCAAGGATGTAGGGAAGCAGAACGAACAACAGCAGGCAGAATTTAAAAGGTCGCTGTTTCTGGACTAGCGTGCCCTTTACTTCTTCATTATTGTTTTCACCCAAACCCTTCCACCCCACCCAGTTCAGCGAAGATGGAAAATAGCCATAGACTGTTCGACTTTCAGGGCAGCGATACCGAGTATATCAAATTTCTTGAATCAAAACTAATGTCTGTTGGATGCCAGCTGTGCTTTCAACAGTCCACCCTCTCCAGTAGTTCCGCCCGCTGTGAGAATAACGCAACCACTCTTTGCCTTTCCCCAACCTCGTCCACTCATCCCGCACGCACAAGCGGCAATGAGGACGCTCTATTTCGGCGCTCAAACCCAATCCCATATTCTTTGCCTCCCCGAAAAAGAACATCTTCCGGGCATATCAGGAGCCCTGGAGACAATGATGGCCCTCTATCACCGTCCCAAAGCTCGACTGCTTCTTCCTGTCGAGGGAATGAAACACACTCCAATCATCCCACAAGCACAAGATCCAATGAGGCCGCTCAGTGTTTACAGTCGCTCAGCTCAAACCCAACTTCGGACGTCCAAAACAATAGTACGGCTCAAGCGTGTGAAATTGTGTACTACAATTCAACTCTTGGTTGCCCACCAAAGAAAAAGCAGAAGCTGCCTGATGCAGTACCTAAGTGGAAAACAGATGCAAACAAATTGTTAGCCTCAGTTCCAACTACGGATAAGTGGAATGAAAGAAAGAAAGAAACCGGATTTAATGATGTTGCAAATAACCGAGTTGCCATACGCATTCTACTCGGCGCGCCTTCAAAGGGCACTCTCATCGTGGAAAAGGACGGCGCCAAGGGTGATCCGCCTGAGCTCCCTAGGCTCAATCCTATGGACCACAAAACGATGATCTCTAACGCGTGCAGGTATGTACGGAAGGCTTTCAACAGAGACTGGATTGAATGCGGCCTTCTCTTCGCTGGTTTTTAAGTACCAAAAACTTATATTTATTATCGATTGGATGCATAAGCGACTCTAGTTCTAGGAACTTGCAGCGGTATCGTCGGGGCTGTATGTTTGTGAATCAATGTATATCCCGCTTGTTACAGCGGGGTTGGGGCTACAAGAGCTGGGAAATCTTTGTTATCTGTTCGTCGAAATACTCCTTGGAACACTGTTTTCATTACCACTACTAACCAGCTGGCTGCAGGCGCCCAGTCCCCCCACCTTTACGCGCGGCTTGCCGATGCACGGGTAGAATGCCACAAAATGTTCGAGCGATTGGGTGCAGCGAAAGTACCTCAATGCGAGGATGGATTTATACCATTTTGTATTCCTAGCATCATCAAATATTTGATTGGTGATGAGATCGAGTGAGCTGAGCTCCTAATGCCATATTATTCTAGAGAATAACATTACTAAAGAGTCCTAGGATTTCCCAAATATGCGCTAGCCTCGGATATAACTTTGGCCTTATCGCTAATATTCACGACACCTTCATATCACAATGGGAAAGACACTTCACAGCGAATGATTCTAGTAATGCAGAAAATGGAATCGAATACACAAACTTTATACCCCCCACTTTGCCTTTCGGGCAAACAATCTCCGACGCTCGAACATCTCCAAACCGGCATATCAATAACATGTCTGATACCGATGTAGCTTTGCAGAATGATAATGACAACATATCTCATTCGGGAGAGGCGAGAAATCCAGGGCGTAGAGATAACGGTTCATACGATGCGAATATTGAGCGGCCGATGCCCTCCGGATACCCCCAGAGCACATCGCAAGGAAAATCTACAGCCAACGAACCTTTATACAGTGGTGGGAGGCCCGGAGTTAACACAGAAGGTCTGACATAGAACCAATTCATTAAAAATGTTAACTAACATCTAAATAGAACCCAATCCCTCATCGAATGGGGGCACCGGAATACCCAGCCAGGAGAATGAAAATCAACCATTAACTTTACTACAGCCACTGCCAGTACCCCAGTTCCAGAAGCGCATCGAGGATTCATACAGTCTTCCATCACCGCAACAGCAGCAGCAGCAGCAACAGTCACTGTCAGTGCCCCAGTTCCAGATAATTGACACCGGCCTCCATTCCCAGCGCATCGAGGATTCATACAATTTTCCATCACCGCAACAGCAGCAGCAGCAGCAACAGTCACTGTCAGTGCCCCAGTTCCAGATAATTGACACCGGCCTCCATTCCCAGCGCATCGAGGATTCATACAGTTTTCCATTGCCGCAACAACAGCAGCAGCCGCAACAGTCACCGTCAGTGCCCCAGTTCCAGATAATTGACACCGGCCTCCATTCCCAGCGAATAGAGGATTCATATATCTTTGCGCAGCAGCGGATGGCGCCGCCACCGCCAACAGGGCTACACTCCCAAGAAATAGACGGGCCAATGACATCAATAATGGATTTCAATGAAACACAAAGACAAACTATCAATACATCACTGCATTCTCGCCAACAGGAATATCAAATGCCACTCCAAAACAATGTTAATTGTTTTCAACAGCCGTTGCAGACTTCCGCTTCCTTTTTGCGTTAGAAACATAAACACAAACCATTGGTGGGCTCAACGTATCGTCGTTAGTGACCCTGTTTACTGAACCTCGCTGAAGCATAGCTCCCGACCCAATCCTCGGTGTTCCCGACAAAACAATTAGGTCCCCGTAACCGGCCTCACTTGTAAACGTGGCATGTGCTTGAGTCTTATATGCAGCACAATCGAATCCCTAGAACTTATTACTTCATTTCTGTGCTAGCCATATTTCATAGCTCGCTACCTTTTCATAAACTTCCCCAACCAACATCCACACTCGTTGACGAAGCTCCGGATCGTCACAGTAGTATATACCTTCTTTGTCCAGTTTAAGATCTGTTTTATCAAACCAGTCCAAGAAATCTTTTCGGCGTTCATCGTCTATAACGGAGACTTCCAAGTTGGGTTTGACGGTGGCCATGGCGACGGCGATGAAGCGTATATATGCGTAGGAATATCCTGCCTCTCATGTAAAGGTTAACTTCGGGGATTTCGCTCAAGGGCTACAAAAATACATTACTTACTTTCTGACTTGCGCAAGGACAGGCTTGGAGAGCAAAATCGCGCAGCTTCAAAAGCTCAAAATGGAGGGGTTCAAAAAAAGAAACTTGCTTAACCCGTTTGACCCCTCATTCTTATCTCAGTGCCTCAGCCTCTCTCAAGATATTTTCGTTGCAAACTAGCCACAGACTAACTCCTTTGAATACCTGCCAAGCCCTGCTAACTTCTTTGATCACCTGCCAAGTCCTGCTAACTTCTGCACCAATGAGAACACAGCAACGTAAGCAACAAAAAATATCTCGTAGTTTCCTCCTTCCTAATTAAGACTAGTTTAAGCCATGTAGATTATGATTGGTCCAGAAGATCTCAGCACTTGGCAGAAGTCAAAAGGAGTTAGCTTATAATTTTACGAAGCGAAGTGGCTGAGGAACTGAGATAACAACCAAGTAACTACAGGAAATAGTTATGATAACAACACTCGTAATATCACGTGAGTTGGTGACATCAGCAGAACTGCGCACTTGGTCTGCCCCGCAACCCGAATGTTTATGTTGACAAACCGAAAACTCGATCATAACAGACGACGTGCCTGCGAATCTCTGCTATTGATATCCCGCCTGTACATTCCGAGAGCTTAAGCGAATATACCATATCGCGATTAGAGATGATACTGGAAGGCTAATTGCTGCCAATATTGATTGTATTTTTCCCGGTGTATCTTACGGTCGCGTGTTGCCTCCCCTCTGAGAACCATGCCTCGAGTCGTCAACCCCCCCCAAAAGAGCCATGGGCGTGGATCTTCCAAACAGGTCACCACGCCGCGCAAGAATTCTCCGATGAAGTAAGAAACATCCCTTTTCTAGAATGAGAGAAGGAGCTGTGTGACATAATGCAACATAACCAACACAAGAGGTGGAAGTGCAAGTGCATGATGAAGCAGGGAAGGAGTGGGCTGGCACCGATAAACGCTGTTTACACATTCTAATATTCTAATACCGACTTCTGCAACAACCATAGGATCCCATTAAACGATGATGCGGGTGAGAAGGTTGCGCGCTTTCAGTCCCGACAGGCGCTCCATGATCTTCAAATGAATCAGATAAAAGCGGCGGTCAAGACGCCCATGCCACCAATGCGCAAGATCAACAGCTACGACCGAGCATCGAGCAGTAGCCCGCGAACCCCGCGCGGCTCCGGCGCAAGAACAGGAGGCAGAGAAACCGATTCAGGCGGGCGGCAGATCGTCAATGGCAGAGCAGTAACCCCTATGAAACGAGTGCCTATCTTGGCAAATTTCGAGGAGTGGATGAAGATGGCCACCGATAATAAAATTAACGCGGCTAATTCGTGGAATTTCGCTCTCATTGATTACTTCCATGATATGTCACTACTGAAGGAAGGCGACGGGGTTAATTTCCAGAAGGCTAGTTGCACGCTTGATGGATGCGTAAAAATCTATACGAGTAGAGTTGACAGTGTTGCGACTGAAACGGGCAAGTTGCTCAGTGGATTGGCGGATAGCAATAATAAAAAACGGCAGCAAGATGAGGGCGAAGGCGGTGAAGGTGACAATGATGAGGATGATGAAGAGGAGGAGACTGGGGAGGATGGCACGAAGAGAAAAAAGCAGAAGAAGGTAGGAGTCGCATTTTTGATGCCCACCTTTTTTTGTCCTCTTCTGACTATTTCCGGGAACTTATTTGTTTTTGCTCCAGACACGATCACACGAAAGCACCCTGGCACCTTCCTTTGCTTCCCTGCAATTGAAGAAGTTTGAACTAGAATTTGCTGTCGATCCGCTATTCAAGAAAGCTTCAGCAGATTTCGACGAAGGGGGTGCAAAGGGGCTTCTTCTGAACCACCTTTCAATCGATGGCACCGGTAGGATTGTATTTGACAGCAGCGATGATGCCTGTGATGCCACGCCAGATGGTGACTGGAACCCCAGAAAGGATGATCGGGAAGGGACTGCGGAGACGGGTGCACCACCGTCACCCTCACCAGCGCCACAAACTAATGGTTGGGATGACGAAAATGTTGAAATTGACCTTGGGCCGTTAGCGAACAAATTCTTTTCAAATCTTGATAGTTTGGATGAGCAAGATATCTGTCCCTCTTTGAAAGATTTTGATCTCGGTGACCCAAGTGGCTCGATCGATATTCCTTTCCTACGTGCGCCTGATGATTGGCGACAGGATAAGTCACAACTCGAACCAGGTGTCGGTGATGCTCTGGTATTATGATAGATGATGACATCGCCGTCGGGTTTGACGCCGATGACGGGACTATCACAGGTTTTGACATGGCGGCGACACAGGCTTCGGTGAAGGTGGTGAGGCGTGGGCCAGGGAGGCTGCTCTGGAGCCTATGCTAAAAGTCCTCGGTATCGATGGCGGCGATGAAGGTATGGATTGTGATTCTAATGATCCGTACACGATTTCTCTTTCACATCAGCCCGCTGCCAAAGAGCATGACAACATTTTCAGCTATTTCGACAATGCTTTACAGAAAAATTGGGCCGGACCCGAACACTGGAAAATCCGAAGCATCAAGGAGGTGACTACTACATCCACTAATGCGGCTCCTCGGATACGCAAAGAAAAAGAACCATTTGAAATTGATTTTGCTTCGCCTCTTGACCCTACTCTCGCCGAAATGATCTATTCCCAGTCATCTTCTAACTCCGCTATATCCCTGCCAAAAACACAATGGAAGACCAAAGGTAGAAACCTGCTACCGGATGATAAGCACTTTAACTCACGAGAACTACTTCGATTGTTCCTCAAACCCAAGGCCAGAATGGGATTCAAATCGCTTGGGAAAACCCAAAAAAATAAAGACCAACAAAATATCTCAAACAGTAACGAAATGGACGAGGCATTCTGGGCTGCACATAAATCTAATGCCGGGCAAACCAGCATGGATGAGAGTGCTGCCCCTACAGGCGCTTATGACGCCAACTTCTTTGCGGATGATGAGGGTCTGGCTTTCCCACATGGGCTTCCCATGGGAGGTGATGGTGATGACGATAACTTGCCATTCGCCGATGCGAGAGAAGCATTTTCGCCTGCCATGGACCCTAATGCTCGCCCAAGCACAGCTGCCGGTGAAGCTGGCGGCCTCTCTGGACTCACTGCTTTGTTAAATGCTGCTGCAACTCCAGGAGGAGCGCTTGCAGGTGGTTTCGGGTCTCAACTTGTTACTCAAGGGGGCCGAAGAGTGCGGCCTGAGTACGTTGCTTACGCTAGAGTAGCTAAGAAGGTCGATGTACGACGATTAAAGGAAGAAATGTGGAAGGGTATGGGTGACCGATTAATCGCGTCGTCAGCTTTCAGCTCGTCATCCCCTTCGGCAGCGGTAACCTCGATAGACTCGCCGAAACATACCGAAATTCCAACCTCCGCGCCTACAGAACCGACAGACCAGACGCAAGACGATGCTGGCGAGGATGAAAAGAGCCTTCGATTCACATCCTTAATGCAGGGCCTCAAATCAGCATATCCTGAACAGGCATTGCGTGATATTAGTACCTCGTATTGTTTCATCTGTTTGCTTCACCTGGCTAACGAAAAAGGCCTGGTGCTGGAGAATAAAGGTGGGATGGATGGGTGGGGGGATAAGGGACTGGAAGAAATTTATGTGACCAAAGATCCGGGTGCTGTTATTGAAGGAGAGGCGTAGAATGCCACATTATCTCCAAGACCCAACGTACACTCTCGTCTGACCAAGGTGGAGGAGGCGTAGATGTGCTTTGTTTGGCATGGTTTGATTTTCGTGGTACAATCCTATCATCCTAGACTGATGGATATGTTTTTTTTTTTTTTTTTTTTTTTTTTTTTTTTTTGATGCAGTTGGTTTGTGTAATAGCTCGTCTGAATGGGTTTCTTGGGTAAATTGAGGTTCCATAGTACATACTCCTTTTTGTTTTTTTATCCTTTGAGATGTTCGGGCTGTTTTACATATAAATACCACTGCCTCAACGTACTAGTTTTCTGCCCGCGTTATCATTTAAACCATCCGTGTGCGTGGTTTTCCCCGTCCCTGAGATCCAAACATGCAAAAAGAGCCAACTTCCACTTGACTGTTAACAAACTACGAGAGTATAGTAGCAAACGCAGCTCTTGGTTTTGATTTGAGCTGGCAAATTCTCCGCGTCCATTGGAGATAATATGTAACTGGATAGATACATTACTTAATGTCCTGAGGCAGTTAACTTAGTTACTAACTATGTCTTGGGAGCACTACGACGACGACAAATGGAAAGAGGGGGCATATTTATATTTGCAATAGGAGAGATATTGATAAATATGATCAATATGACTGGACGATAAAATAGCTAGTTAAGCTTTTTTTTTTTTTTTTTTTAAGGAGGGAAAATTATAAGCTCAGAATAAAATTTCCGAGGAAAAAAGGTATATAGCATAGTCTGGGGGGGGGGGGGGGGG